AACTATGATAGTGGTATGAGAAAGGACTAGAACTCAAACCCAGTGGCAACCCTGTTCCACCTCAGATCTGCATGACTTTGCAATAAAGTTTTAAAGGTAACAGTCAGTGTAAACAAATGTTTAAACCACATTATGTCACCTCAGCTGGCTGACCTGAACCGCCGCCTGCCAGCTGAAGCAGGTCTGCCTCCACCTAAGCCTGGTCCTCTGCGAACCCGTGAGGTGCCCCCTCCGCCACGGCCCTCCCCCCACACCATCACCCTGCAGACCCCGGCGTTCAGAAACTTGAGGCTCCCCAAGAGGCTGCGTGTGGTGTACTTCCTGGCTCGCACACGCCTGGCCCAGCGCATCATCATGGTGAGAAGACAGATTCAAAATTGACTGCAAGTTGAATGTGTGTTTTGTGCAGACTGCGGCCATTTGTCTCACACAGTCTGCTGGCGCTGCCTCTGTGCCTTCTGTGTCTGGATTCATTGTGTTATTGATTGCAGTGTCACTGTACAAATGTCATAAAGAAAAACAAGCAGGACAGAAATATTCTGTCAGACTTTCAGGAGTGACACTGAAGTGTGGCTGCATGTCTGTTTATGCTATAAATGAAAAAAACAACAACACATCAGCTGGCTGTAGCTGGCGGCTTAACGCTATGCCCACATCAAACCCACAAAGCAAACACTGTGAGTGCATCGAAAGACTAATTTGTTGAGACAAGTGATTAAAAATGTATTATTGTATTACTAATGGACAAAAAGCAAATGTGCCAGGATCTAAAGATACCCATAATGTATTCTGTTATATGAATGTGTGTCAAACATCTGGACTTAATACCAGTAAAATATAAATGATCATAAATATCTTAACAGTTTGTTTGTATTTTTTTCCCCTTTTCCAGGTTGGCACAGTGATTTGGATCGGCATCCTCGTCTACACTGACCCAGCAGGAATCCGCACCTACCTGGCTGCACAGGTCTCTGAGCAAAGCCCCCTGGGAGACCCTGGAGGAGGCGGTCTGCCCCCTCACCTGGGGGTGGCCCCGGTTTTTCGTGGCGTGGATCCCACCAGCACCTTGAGCATCCACCCTGCGCCAGATCCAACTCCCTTGCCCGAGAACCAATCACAGGGCCACCATGGGGCGGCCAGGGCCGGTTCCCTCCACCAGGCCGCGCCTTCTGTACCTCAGATCACCTGGGGGGCAGAAGATGAGGAGGGATGGAGGAGGTTGTCCTTCAGGCACTGGCCGTCGCTCTTCAGCTACTACAACATCACTTTAGCTAAGAGGTGAGTGGCGCAGAAGACATTTGTTCAGTAACAGATTCTGAATGTTCTTTATTTGTGGACAGGAAGACCCAGAAGCCAGTGTATATTTTAAAAAAGGTTAAATGTTTACCCCCCCAGATATCTGAATAATGAGTTGTCAGAATGGGTCAGCGGGACCTCAATAGCTCAGTCATCAGTGTTTTTGTTACCGCACCAGGGATGTTACCAGACGTAACAGTGCTGCTGTCATAAATGGCCTGCTGCAGATCTCTGGCGTTTCACGAGTGCTCTGTGTGCAGCAGCCTCTGTGGTTTTTCTGATGGTCTCTTTACAATATCAGCATGAAGATGATATTAAGCAGCAGAAACAAGAGCAAAGTCGCCCAGCACACACACAGCTGTGAAGCTTTTCAGAGGCACAGAAAATAATGTGATATTTGAAGGCGACATTCTGCTGTTTTTGTAATGTTTATATTTTTTCATATTACTCCAAGTCATCTGGGGACTGCAGTAGAAGCAACGGCCTTCTATGATCCATCAACAAGTTCATTATTATTTTTATTATTATTTTGGCACAATACTGTTTTGAATAACAGAAATGCCTTTTTTTTTTTATCATTGTTATTATTTGACAGCTAAAGTTAATGTTGAAATACATTCATTTCAGTGCCTTATTTTGTGCTGTGGAATTGTAGAATTTCAGTGGTATTCATACTGATTACCAAATTTCTGGTATCCTGACATCCCTGTCCTGCACCATTCCTTCAAGAAGAAATATTCAAAATATCTTGTAGATCATAGTAGCCAACTTTCTTCAAAAAGATCTGGTATCTTTGAAACAGAGAACTGAAGCTGGAAAATGTCACTCGTTTAGATTTTTGCCTTTTTATGACAAAGTGGAACAACATATTGACTGAACAGAAAAAGATAATGCCGTGTAGCAAGTATATCTATTTCGACTGTTTCTATGAACTGAAATAGAAAAACTGTACAGATGGTGCGCGTTTTATATTTTAAATACAGTAGTTCTCGCAGACAGTTCTATCAATTTTAAATAAATAGTGCTTTTACTGTGTTCTTTTTGAAAGCAAAAGTACACAACTATTGAATTCTAACAGCTTCACATAGCTAACGCAGGTGCAAGCTCGTAACCTGATTCCGTTTTTTTTTTTTTTTCTATAAAACCTCTGTCAGTAGGTTCCACAAGCGTTGTCAGACAACTTTGGCTTTGAATATGAAAGTGTGAAATGTTGTTTTCCCCACGCCCCTCTCATCCCCACTCTCACCCAACCGGTCGAGGCAGATGGCAGTCTTCCCTGAGCCTGGTTCTGCCGGAGGGGGGGGTTTGGTTCCTTCCCACCGTTGCCAACCGCTTGCTCAGAGGAAGTCCAAAGGCTACTTTGGATTGTTGGGTTCTCTGTTTAAATTCATAAGGTCTATACCTGACTTTGTTAAGCGCTGTGTGATAACACATGTTGTAAACTGAGCTATACAAATAAAGTTGAATTGAACTGAATTGAAAGTCAGGGGCAAATTGTATTTGCCTTCTAGAAGTAAATATTTATATTATATGAAGTGGACAAACCTTTAACCCACTACTACTGTTTTTTGGCCGTATATATAAATTAAGGTGGGTTGACCACCACGTTTGTATTGTACATGGAAGGCCCTGTCTGATTCTGTCATATCCTCTCTGTCATCTGTCCATTTTCAGGTACATCAGCATCTTACCTGTCATTCCTGTCACCGTACATCTGAGCCCCCAGGAGGCCATCGAGACACGTCATCCTCAGGACACGAGACACCCGCCGCCACACATCCCAAAGGTTGCTGCAGATTTACAGACGGACCTCACCCTCTACAAGTTAGTACTGAAAAACACACAGGCAAAAAGGCCTGTTTAAATCATTCCACTTTATTGAAAGCTGGTGTACTTCCTGTAGCTGTTGGGACTTCAAACCACTTCTGCTCTAGAGATTTAGAGAAACAAGGGCTCTGACAAAACAATGTGTTTGGGGCAACACGAGCCTCCCGTAGCTCTCCAAATAAACATCGCTTTTACAGGAATCATTTCAGATACTTCTCTGTCTGACCGAAAGCAAACATGATGATAGATACCTGCATTTAGGTTCTTCATGGAGTGTAGCTTGGCAGACGCAGTGGTCACACTTCATCCTCGTGGCAGCTTGTTTACATGTGTGATCTTTACTACAGCGGTATATTTTTCCTGTGGACTGTTATCACCTGTTATCAGTCGTTACTGAGAAAGTTATTGGAAAATGTTGACAGATTCTCAAATACATTGGAAAACATTACATGCTGACTGACTACAGGACTTGAATCCCGTTGCTCTGCTTCAAACGTATTTAGACAACCTTGTCATTGTTGGTGCACCTTGTTTCAGATGACCTTAAACTAATTAGTTTGGCAAGAAATGTTATTTGGAAGAGTTCACATGGTTAAAAAGAAACAAGAAGAGGCCGCAGCACTAACAGGACCTTGACCTTGGGTCTTTTCACCAGTGTGTCATTGAACTGATAGCACAGTTGACGCTGAAGCGTTTTAGTCACTTGTGCAGTTGTCCTTCGGCTGAAATTGGAGCAGTAAATTAGAATATATTCCAAGATAGTCAAGGTCAAGGCCGTATAGAGCTCTCACACTCGTATGTAACACAGATTTAAGGCCAGTAAATAATGACACATATTGAGATTTTTTTGTTGTTAAAATGCGTTAAGATGTTTGTTATGTATCTTACTAGGGCTCCAGACTGCAATGGTTGTGTATGCGACTTGACCTTAGCCTGCATAGGAGGTGTTTAGGGAGTATCAGTAAATGATAGTACGCATTGATAAGCAGGTGGGAAGTGGCTGAGGAGTTTCGCCTGTGTACAGTCAGACAACCTCATGGGGAAAAAACAGTGACGAAATGACATATTTCCAAATAAAACTGTCCTTAGTCACGGTTGCTCTTTGCATCAGTGCAAAACTAAGGTATGCAAAGACAACTATTCATCAGCATGCAAGGTTAATTAATACTAAAAAAGTGGAGGAGGTTTGCGGCCAAATCATGTGCAGATGCAACCAACTGAGTACGTTGGCAGCACCTGTGCAACAATTGAAAAAGGTGATTTGGAGCCCCGTATACTGGCAAATGTTTGGATTTGCACAGTGCATGGGGACCCTCTTTTACTTCTAGAGGAGAGGGCTCGTCTTTGGCTTCCCTTTAAGTTAAAGTTCTCTGGGTCAAGAGTCGCTGGACTGATGGTTATCTTATCTAGGGCAAGACGGGAGACAAAGAAAAGGGAGGTCACCTGTTATCGCTGCCTTCAATAGCTATTCTCTCTGGCTGGACAAGCCAGTTTTAGCAGTTCTTGCAGAGAAGGCATTCATGTGGGACTATAGCTAATCCCACTCCCCGTGTCAGGTTTTTACCCTGCAGTGTAATTTTACCGCTTTTGGTCGACACAGAATGCATGAAGGGCTGAAATATGTGCTGGTGTGCACTGGAAACACGCTTAAGCTGTTGCTATGCTATGGTGTTTTGTGTTACCGTGACAACCAGAAATGTCTGTCTCTAGTCTAAGCCGTTTTCTAAGATGTTTTCCTCTGTAATGAATGTGAATGCGTTCATTATTTATTTCACGAAAAAAGGAAAATCTTGTTTCACCTCAGCTTTGTCTTCAAGTCACCCCAGAGGATCGCAGCATGCACGCCGGGCGCTGCACTAATACATTTAACTCTTGAACAAAGAAGTGTTAGAAAAGTTGTCAGCTTCATCTCGGTGATGTATTAGGTACCTTTAGTGCCATACAGCTAACTCTTATGAATAGAAAGGATGTTTTACACAATATGAGAAAATCAGCTGTCACAAGATTAATATAGGACTCATCTGAGCTCACACACCGTCTGATGACTCATTTATCAGCTTGTCCTATTCTCACCTACTCGCCTCAACAAAAAGACAGTCTGGAGTTGAGTTTTCAATGTGCCGTGTTGTGTAAGGCGGTGTGTTGTCACCCTTACTGCCAAGGAAGTTCAAGTTTCATCTTTGGATAGCAGATACGAAGGCTATCAGCCGTAGCTGGGTCAGGGTCACGACCTTCACCGTTGGGAAGAAACAGCTGAGTTTGTGGTTGGTTTAGATGACCCTGAGACTGATAGAAGGCCAGTGGAGTAAAAGTCACAACATGCTGTAAGAACTGGATTCAGCACAGTGAGGAGCAGGTTCAAAGGCAGATGGAAACTGGCCTGTAAGCACAAGAAATGCAACAAGACCAGTTATCAATGGAGCCGTGAGTAGTTCACACAGCTCACAAATTCCTTCAGAGTCACGTTCCACATTCATCTGATCAGTCGTGAATACAAACTATTTTCACACACTGGGCATTGCTTATAATCACATTCCATTCTCTGTCCATAGAGAAACACTAAACACTGCATCATTGTTTGTAGATGACTGCCTGCTTTGTAGCAGGTTCACCATCTTCATGACTTCCTCCTGCATTTAGATTTGGTTGAATTTTCAAACTTTTTTTTTTTTTTTTCATCTCAGGAGTAAATAAAAGGGAAAGAATTAGAAAAAAAACAACTTTTGAAATGGTGTCAATTATGCTGTCAGCTGAAAAACTCAGAGAGGAAACAGTGCAGTTATCGTCTACCTGAGCAGTGAGTAGTCAGAGTTGATGATGCTGTTGAAACCACTAAACTTAGTTAACAAAGCAGCTGTGTCATATCCGCTCCTGATGGCACTGGACAGGTGTGTGTAACGCCTCTTGGTTTGTGGTTTTTCTTTGTAATCTGAATTTCTAACAGCTGCAATGCATAAAAAAGTTTTTGTAAAACCAAAAATGCTGTCCAAGTAATATAGTTCTAATGCGATGTAGTAAGATAGTTGATTTATGTAAAGGTTGACTT